AACTGCGATTACAATAAAGCTATGGCATTTTAAACCTTATATCAAGATCTTTAAATGTCACATCGTCTATTATATTATGGCCCTATTATACTATTTTTCTTCGCACCCCACGTAATTAACTGTGTTCCCTTCAGAATACTAAACACCTATTTAGTACCGACTGTCTGTTAGAAGACAGCAAAGATAGGTATTATGTTGGGTGTGAAAGAGAGGTAAGAAAGGGATACCAACCCTAAAGTTTTCACTTCATGCGTAGAAATGATTCTAGGGCGGTTAGACGCATCCGAGATCGTCCGTCCCTTCTTGTGGGCTATATTTAGAGATGTAACCAAGTGTGAATGATAGGAAGCTGGTTATTTATAAACGATCAGCTTCATAAAGTTCTTCTGTTAGTTTTCTACTTATGAAGTCATTAATAAACACAAAACATTTGATTTAACGGTGACAAAAAATACTTACTTGAAAGTTCAGTTCACGAAAATTTAAATTGTATTTATTTGGGACAAATTAACAAAAGTTAAAAAAACATTAGTAACAAAATTGTATTTTACCATATTCATAATTTTTTAACGGATAGGGGGACGTATATAGGCTGTAACTTTAACTTTAAATATAAACTCAATCTCCTACACCTGACATATATTGATTGGCAGTAGGTTTGCAATATCCGAAGACCAAAATATCTGGGCAAATTTTGAAAATGTCGGGATTTTGGTATTGTTGTCGGAAGAAATAAGTATTAAAAATAAAAAGGTTTTTTTTTGAGAGGAGGTTACAAAAAGCAAGTAATTTAAACAAAACTAATACACTTAATTACACTTAATTTTTAGGTTGCCACATATATTCGACTGGACTTTCCTAGAGTCTACCAATTTGGATCATTTAGTATTCCGAAAAGATTTAAAATTCAAACAATTTACTTCAAAGTTTAGTCTAATTAATTCAAAGGCCATACGCGAAGCTGTTCTTCTTACTTTCCGTGAAGCTGTTTGTCTGGAGATTTTGAGTTTTGTCGTGAGTCTGGAGATAATTTGAAATGTCCAGGGAATCCAGACCGTCTGGCAACCCTAGTAGACAGAGACTATGGACATTCATTTGGCTTTGGTTCTCTCGCTTCCTTCACATTCGTATCTCTACGCATACGTGCTCATCGGTTCAGGGTACTTTTTACAGGGTATACATGAGTGATAAAAAATAAATTTATTATTATTGCATGGTTTGTTTAAATATGTAAATTGATCCGTTGTTAAGACATCCTTTTAAGTAAATATATACCTGTGCCTGGATGCCCCGCTATTCCTTAGAAAATTTCTTAAAAAATTTCGAACTCATATAGAACTTAAGTTACCTACTTACTTATTAACTTACGTAACTACGCCCTTAATAGTCTTATAATCACTTTTTTTAAGTAATTAAATTAATTCAATATTTCTTGTATATGTATGAGCTGATTGCTTAGTATACTGATCACTAGCAAATTTAGTTTTTAGAATATCTGTTTCTACGTTAAGAGGATAGAGTAAGTCAGCTCAAATTGTAATTTCGTCCCCACTTCCCCGCGCGTCGTATGCTATGTACCGACATGTTTGTAATCACTAATACTGTAAGTAGAAAGGTCGTTAGACACTTATTTCATTAGGTTTATCAAATTTATGCCTATTTCTTAACGCCAAGCCAGCTGCTTCTTATTTTTATCACGGTTATTTCCCATTTTAATTTTACGTCGTACTGTTGCGTAATGTATATTCTGATCGTAAGCGACACAACCTCCCCGTTCAAAGGCCAAGGCGAAGTGACCGTGCTGCAGGAATCACGCTTCAAAAGGCCGATAGTTTAGGTAATTTCTTTTTACAGTGAAAATAATGGTATTTTAAAAAAAAGTAAATAACATAAGCACTACTTTATAGTTAGTTCAGTTAGTATGCAAAGTTTCATGATCTTATTTAAAGTATTTTATGAATAACAGCGGTTTATTGTTTATTTTGGAGGTAACTTTGGATTTTTTTTCTATCGAGAAAATTTAACGAAATCGTGTTTTCGTCTAACATAATCCTTAACATTAATCCTCAACTTTACCATATATTTATTTCAAAATTAATGCTGCAATATTTTCGGCATAACGAAGGATCTTGCTAAGGATTTTGACATTATATTTCCCCTTAATGTTTACCTTTCTTTTAGCGATTGTTCCTAATGTATACAAATTCGCGTAGCGCAAATTATAACCACCCGACGTACAGATAATGTTTGAATATTAAAAAATAATATTATTAAAAAATACTGTTAAAATACCTATCTGGTACTAAACGGCCGCCAAGACATTGTGATAAAAAACAAAATGAAAAAAAAAGAATATTTAATAATATTATAACAGTGTTATAAAACGTTAGTCTCATGTAATTTAAATACATACCTACCTCCATTCAACCGTACAATCCAATTCACTTATTTTAATTCCATTGCGGAAGAACATAGGCCTTTCGATAGAGTGCCTCAAAGAGGGAATTTTGCAAATGAAGTGTTTTATCGAGCTGGTAGAGCGATGCTTGGTTTTAGCACGAATAGGTCGTCTCATCCGGGGAAGGATAATCACAGAATACCCATTGGTACCAACTATTTCACGCTGTTATACCTGTATAGTAAGCTGGTGCTTAATGCTACTGTGTTTCGTATGGTGAGTGTAGAGATCCGGAGACCCTTTTTTCTGAATACTGATGATTTTGATTCTTAACCAAGAATTGGTAGGTGGACTGTGTGCTCGTATGTCACCCTTTTTATATCTAAAATAATGTTTTGCGTACTCGACATATTCTGCTCCTCATCTTCTTTTTCAATTTCACTCTATCTCTTCTTACGACACCCACGTGAACAAATGAGGTAGTGAGTATATCCTTAGGCCACCACTATTTATTTATTTTTATTTATTTATTTGCTTTTTCAGGGAAACATACAGTACAATAAAAATACATTATAAAACAAATATAATCCTAAAACCACTGAAGTTTCCACAGATATCTAAAACATATTAAAAGCTTGCAACCACAATATGTTTAAAGATTGAAAAAAAATAACTAAATGGTATTTATCATTAAACATTAAGTACTAAGCATAAAATAAAAGTAATACAATACACACAACCTATAGTGAAGCTACCAATTATAAATTAAGTTTTACAGTATTTTTTTTATAACTATTATATTTAAGGTGAAAAATATCTAGTTCACAATATTTTAAGTTAAAATTTTTACATGTACGAGATACAAAATTATTTGAAGCATACTTCGTTTTTACTTTACGTAATGCAAAAAGAGGCTATTTCGTGCACCTAACCGGTGACACGTAAGATTCACTTTGCTTAAAAGTAGGGGAGAGTCGATGATATTATGTAGCAATTTGTAAAACAACATTTGATCTCTTATATCACGGCGTTTTTCGAGTGTATAACTGTGTAAGCTATCAATATTAAAAGCAAGCAGAAGGTTGAACACACTCTATATAATATTAAATTTAAACTATCACGCGCGTAATATTTGTTTCAAAGCTCCAGTTTTAAAATAACCATTGTACCTATCCCATAGATACAAATTTTATAGTACTGTTCTTTTTTCTTCTTTTTCAGCCTGCTGAAGTGTGCAGGTGGACATAGCCTCATGAGTTGTATAAAAGACTTGCCTTAACCTCCATGCTTGGCAGGTGGAATGGCGTTCTAAGTAGCATCAACCCCTGTAACGTTGCTCCTCATCGCGTGTCCGAGTATTTTACGTCAGAGGTAAACGAGATAGTTATACCGCCATCTATCGGAAGCCACTATATCTTCCTGGGATTTCCCGTTGTTGCCTCTAACGGCAACCACGCAATGAAAGGAGTGATAATAATAATATAAAACATATTTTATAAAAATGAAATTATCATTTAATTCTCATTGTAAAACAATACAGAGATCATGTTATTATAATTATTATTATTTACTGCAAGGCATCTTTTCAAAGTCGAAATCTTTCAACAAAAGTTATATTTTTTCGATTTTCACACGTTTCACGGCTAGGTATTATGAAAAAATTTTAAGTTGGTAACTTACAAAAAACATAATAGGTAGTTTTAGTAGTAGTAGTAATAGTTTACTCCTGAAACAACAACAAATTGAATTGTTAATAAGGTTGATAAAGTTAATAGAGATGACAGTAAAAATGCGCGATGCAGGTTTTTCATTGTAGATATGGAAAGTAAGTAATAGGTAATACAACAACCCATAACAAATAAATTTATTAATTAATAATACCTCTAAGTCATTTTGATAATTATTTATAATTATAGCATACCGTACTATGGTACGGTTGTAAAGTTAATTGATCTAAGTTACCGACAAAACAGATTGTTAGAATATTAAAAATAAATAAATCATTCAAGAATCCACAATCGCTGCTGTTGTCATAGTAAATCACGAGCACTAATTTGAAACGGATCCGTAAACAGCGACCGGCTCGAAATACACCAAAGGCCCCTCTCGAAAGCACTAATCTCATAAAGGGAACCCAGCCAGTCTCTCAAAAGGATTTAACAAGCGGTATTCACGACTGCTCATTATATTTTTATACTTTATACCTCTGGTGGCGGGCATAAAGTGCGCGATCAAAACGCGCGAACCCCTACAAAAGGTAATTATGTTTTGATTCCTACAAAAAAAAAATCGAGTATCACAAAGGAGACTAACGAGATAAGAGTGTGCTAAATCGCTCTCCCCTTGGCCCCCTCTCGGATCAATTCGGAAACAAACGGTCGATTGGCGGAGCGGGACGGCTTCACTTCAAAGGCGGAGTAGCGCAAAGACACGCCCACAATCCGGGTGCGAGGGACCAACTTAACGCTTGTCGGCCAGTCAACCTCCAGCCGCGTCCGCATGCGTACACGATCGACCGCGATCACAGTGTGAAACAGTGCTAAATGGAACTTAACGGCGTTCAATGTTAAAGAAACAAAGTTACGAAGATAAAGACGTGAATATGGCGATACAGAGCGTTTCGAGGTACCCGAGCAGTCCGGCAGAGGCGACCGAACCGCCCAAGTCATCAAGAATTAGTTTCAGTGTCGCGTCAATACTGGCCGATACTAAGGCGAGCCAAGCAGATGAAACTGCTGAAATAATTCGGCATCACAGGACAATCCCTGAGTCGCCGCTAAGGCAGTCGCCGGCGGCGCAACCTGAGCTACCCGGGGCAAAATCTCTGTCTCCAAGACCGTCATCCCAAACACCTCCTTTAAATCTTAACGTCACTGCAACTGTCACATCATCAGACGATGAGTACGAAGATTCTGTTAATCAAGAAGACTCGATAGTGGATGTTGAGGACCTACAGAATGGTATTCCAAGTGACGATGAAGAAAGGTCGTTAACGGGAACCGAAAAAGAGCGACTAGGGCCAATAAGGCCGACACCTTTTAGCGCCCTAGCGGCGGCAGCGGCTGCGTATCATAGTCTTGGTTGGCCTGGACCTCCATCTGTCGTACCCTCCTTTGGACCCCTATTTCAATCGCATTTTCCTGTTGGACATATAACAGGTTAGCAGCAAATATTTTATTATTTTCAGTTATTTTGTCCTTTTTAGCGCAGGCTTTAAGTGAAACGTCTTTTTATTAGAATACAATAATAAATAACGTTAGCTAGTGATTTGTTTTATTGGTTCCAATCAACAATTCCGTTATAGGTTTTGCATGCAGTTTTTCTTCGTTGAAGTTAATGATAATTTACTACCTGCTTCTTGTTACCGAAAGGCTATTTATCTTTTTTAGTCGTATTGAGAAATGTGCGTTTCATTCTCCATCAATATATGGTCATAATAATAAATTTCTTTTTTATATATATTAGGTTACTTAGTCAGTTGCTTGGCTTCCATTCAGTTTTATATTTATATTATTTGTAACTATATTTCATCGACAGGTTTCATATCTAGAGTGTTCTGGTATAAATTATTAACGATTTTCAAAAACATATCAATTAATAGGATCTTCACATTAAAAAAAAATGATTTCTTCTTATTTTGTGACGGTAAAGTTATTAAATTAGTTTTTTATAATCACGGAAATAAGAATCGGTTATGTTTTGGAAAAAAGTACATATGTGCAGTTAGTTTTAAGTTGACAAATGAATTTTCGTTTTTTTTATGCAAAATAATGAGGAAAAGTATCTAAAAAATATTTATCATTGTAAGTTTTACTAACTTGTTCTGTAAATAAAAAAATAAGTAAAATTCTGTACACAAATATTATATTTTTTTACTGATAAAACATAAGTGACTGTTATTAAATAAAAATAAAAATTATTATAGTAATTCAATTTGTAGCTATATGAATATAAGTGTAAACAATAAATGCGGGACTAAAATTACCGTGTAATGGTAAAGTCCACTTACCATAGCGTATCCTGTCATGTGTAATGGTTAATTTCTAACTATTATTACATCAATAGTGTTTCTCATATTCATTGACCGCGGCCTATTGTTTAATAAAATGCTATTATTTATATACGCGTACGTTTTAGTCGATATCGAGTCGAGATTTTACGATTCGAGTCGTATATCGAGAACAATAAGAAAAAATTTAGTTTATACTAAGCTCAAACTTATTTATAAAAATAAACTACTTTAGGATTTTATCATTTTTAATTTACATCATATTAATAAGTTGTCCTTTTAGACCCAGGGGAGACTACCTTCAGCTTAAATTTTACTTATGGTCAGATCTATGCAGGATGAACTTACTGTGTCTTGAAGTTTTGCAGTGGTACGCTTGGTTTTAGCCTTAATTTTATTAATTATAGTGAATATAGTAGGCGGTAGTACAGTGATAGTAAATTAAACGCGATAAAAACCGCAAAAGTAGGTAGTGCTATTTGATATATAGTGTTCGTGTAAATATGAGAAATAATTTTATAAATTTTATATTAGTATAAGTGTTTGTAATGAAAAAATAACAACTTTTTACTAAATATATATATGAAAGTACGTACGGTAATAATACGCAAAAAACATATTTTTTATTTCTGTCTGTCCGTTTGTTTCGGCTAATCTTCGAAACCCTGGACCGATTTTGACGGGACTTTTCCTGGCAGATAGCTTATGTATTAAGACGTAGACTTCTTTACTTAGACTTTTATTGCCAAAGAACAATTAGGGATCCGGGCAAAAAAATCAAACCCATGAAATACAAAAGTACTTAACAAAATTCACGCGTAGGTACGAAGTCGCGGGGAACAGCTAGCTTAATACAAATTTATTGCCACCTACTACAACTATATTAAAAATGTTTGAGTCAATTTTTTTAAGGTTTAATTGACTGATATTTGTTTAATTATTTACTTTTTAATTATTCCTAAGTAGTTCATTGCTAGATGGCGTCTCTTCTAGTAGAGGTTTGCCTTACTCAACAATCTTATCGTTTTATATTCATTTCGCCATATTATTGTAGTTATTTACTAAGAAAAATGCATGAAATTAATCGTAAAACAGCAGGTTAACGTTGTTGTGTTTCGTATGGTGAGTGTAGAAAACCGGAGACCCTTTTTCACTGGAAACGAGGCATTCCATCTTAGTCCTCAGGTCTGATAACGTATTTCCATTTTGATTCTTAATTGAGGATAAATTATATAATAGCTGTCTATGTACCACAGCATCTGCTTACCATCAAGTGGACTGTGTGCTCGTATGTCACCCAATACTATAAAACTATATATATTATATCAACAATGAAAAAAGGTACAAATTTATGAGTAGTGGAGCCCGGGTGCAGTGCATTAGACTTGCAGCAAAGTCGACCAAAAATTATTTATTTCTTAAGCAACAACTGGAATTGACCAAAAGTGGTCAAATCTATTTGAAATTTTATTGAACTGTGTTAACTTTTATAATTCAACATCTTTATAACATTAAGGTTTAAGGACACAATGTTTTTCTTCTATTCTTTAGACTAAACGCTTATAATCACCTTCGCAAAGATAATAATACGATAAACTTATAGTGGCGGTGTAAGGATATCCACTACCTCCGCGGGTATCGTAACAGGCGACAGAGGGAAACAGATCAGGAGATGGGCAGCAGGTTCCTTAATAACGACTAAAAATAAAAAAGTAAACTGCGGTTGCCAACCCGCTTGAAAAGCGTGGCCACTATGGCAAATATCCTTCCTATGAGGCAGTCTATGGGGGAGGCCTATGTTCATCAGTGGACTTTAATAGGCTGTAACGGTAACAGTATTATCAACAAAAAACTTTACCACCACACTTGATTTTCTTCTGTATCGTGGAGGCAGTTTACATATATAAAATTCATAAGGACATACATTCAGACCCGAAACAACATTCAGATTAGTAATATTTGAGACTCGAATCCGCGACCCTTAGCACCGCTACTCATTGCTAACCCACTACGCCACAGAGCCGTCAATTATCACAACCATTACAATTTTTTTAAGTGATAGAACCACGCTGCAGTTATATCACATTTGTAGCACAAATGGGTCGGATTGACAGGGGCAGGATCACGCTCTTACAGAATACCAGCGTAAAATAGCAGCTTAATGCTGTTGTGCTTCATACGGTGAGTGTAAAGAACCAGAACCTTTTTACCCGAAACAGGGCATTTCATCTTGGTCCTCGATAACGCATCTGCACTATGATTTTTTATTGAAGATAGATGTAGATGTTATGGGCCACGGCATCCACTTGCAGTCAGGTGGACTGTGTGCTCGTTTGCCAGCCTTATTCTATATAAAAGCAATCAATACAACCAACAGTTCACTGCTGTGCTTCAACTACAAAAGGCGACTATTCTATAATCATGCTTTGCCAAGGCAATGCTCCTATGACGCTGCTTTCGGTATCTTAGTTTAGATTTGGTATACAGGCGATAATTATTTTTATTCATCTATAGAAGTACATATAAGATTTCCTAACATTCTTTTAGAGTAGTGATTTTAATCAATAAACGGGCATGATTAAATATAATTTTTGGATTTACCTTATCAGAAAATTAAAATCGTAAAGGATTAATTGCATTAAAATTGATAAGATTCAACAATAAGACTACGATGCCCAATTAGAATAAGAAATACAGCTCCGAAACTTACAAATCACTTAAAACACAATAGACTACACCCAAGGTAATCCATCTTAACCCTTGACAACCGGTTACGGTAAACAAACAAACAAACAGGGGTACAATAATAAGCCAGACATAAATAACGGATCTGTCGAATCGCGAAAACAATATCCTCCCAACAAGATGGCGGGATCCCGAAGGATTGAGAATATGGCCGCTATTTTGCATAAGCATGCCTGAGCACAATTTAAACAGTTGCAAACATTTTGATAATATACATTCATTGTTTTAAAGATTTAGCAATTATCAGATACTTGCATAAAGATATGTTTTTCTTGAGAATGTTTAAAGAACTGTGGAAGTTTAGGGTTCGGGCGAGAGCTTTATATTTCGACACTTTTGAGCAAACTGATTGCGATCTCCGATGGCATCATAATACAAAACTTATGACTTGTGAATATCCAAACCCAACGCAATCTACCATCACTTTGTATGGTACTCGAAACTGTACATATTAATAAAGTCACGGCTTATATACGTCCCACTACTGGGCATAGTCCTCCCCTCATTTCTGAGAAGGTTTTAGGGCAAGGAAGTGTCCGCCGCGCTAGCCCATTGCGTGTTGGCGAGCTTCACATGTCTTCAAAATATTTTTTTCTTATTCCTCAGACATGCAGGTTTCCTAACGATGTTATCTTTCACCGCCGAGCACGTAGTAAATCAGCACCAATGAAATTGTTAATTGCAATTTCATTGGTGCTGCGGGCGGGGCTCGAACCCGGGTTACACGCGTACTGTGATATTTACAGCGAGCGTTACCATCTGAGCTACCACGGCTCACGGCACTATTAACGCAATACCATAATTTTCTTAAAATTGATTAATAAATTGCGCCTGGCTGTCTCTATGTATTTAATCTATGTATTTCATTTATATTTTATATTGTTTGATTACTATCTACGAACAAAAAAGGAAAAAATAGTTTCGTTTGAACTCTAAAAACCCAAACAGTATCGTCTTGTTTTTGTTACTTACATTTTACCTAATATCTTTGCATAAATTATACAAAGTTAATGTTTGATAAAATGCTATTTATAAATGCCTTATTGTTCGCAAGTGCAAATAATGTCCCGTTAGTGCGCGGTAATTGAATAAACTTGTACGGGGGAGGGCTAACCTATACGAGGACCTTTCATATCGAAGGCTCACGCGAACTCACAAGAACTATGTAACAAAGAATTTCGTTGGCACAACATTGTGAGGAATGCGCTTTCATATGAAATGACATAATCTAGCTTTAGGCTTGGGAGTTATTCTAAGAATACCAACTGGTCTGAAATGTTATAAAATAATCCTATAGATTGAGTAAGCGGAATTCGGTGTGTCGTGCAGCGTGGACAGTATATTGCTATAGCAGCCCGGAGTCAGCTAATTGGAGATGTTTGATCCGCACGCCTTAGGCCTGAT